TTTGAGTATATATATATATATATATATACACATATATACACACACACACATATATATCTATATATATAAAAGTCAGCAACGACGCCCGGGAACCTCAGGTATTGACGCATCCTCGGCCCGGGAGTGGGGCGTATTTGCCCGCGATATCGACTAAGAACTAATCTACAAAAGAAAGGTAACAAATCCCAAAACGGGAACCTATGTACGAGAGAACCGAATCGACTCGCGCGACAGTTGAGAGTGTATCGACAGTGAAGAGATTTTCTCATATCTCTCTTCCTCCGCTAAGAAAAAGAACGCGTAACGCTCGTGACGCTTTTAGGTCCTTGTTCGCCTTCTTACTTCGCCCCGCTTTTACGTCCTTCATAATTACGTGTGTGTGTATTACGCGTCTTAGCTACTTGTGTGTGCTGGTACAACACTTTTCGATGCGACGAAGTTCAATGTGGCGCAACGCTTGCCGATATATGTGCGTATACGGTGGCACCACGAGTTTGTCTCGTTTCTGTCTCGCGCCTCTTCGTCGTTCCTCACGTCGTTCCACGGATCACGCTCGCGAGTCAACGGAGTAGCAGTCTCGCACTGATACATTGGTCAGGGTGCGAGAGAAACTGGTCGAGTCCGCTCGGATTTGCAGCGCGCTTCCCCGTCTAAACCAGATTGTACTCCTTCAGATTGGACTGTAGAATGGTGTCCTTTACCGCCGCGAACACGAATCTGATATTCTCCGTATCTGTAGAACAGAAAAGTCACATGTTCAAATATCAGAATGTATCCTTAAAACTTGTTCAAGAGAAACATTAATTGGTTGCAAGCATTATTTGGTACATGCCACGAATTCTTCTCTTTCTCCTCAAATGACAGTTCTCTGATTTATCGTTGTAATTTAAACCTTTTGAGACTTTTAATATGCTAAATATTCTTAGAAAATTGATATTTAAACTTAAAACTAATGATGCGACTATGTATTTGTAAAATATATCACACCGTGCTCTGCTAGTGATTGTGAATGCTGTATAAATAAATTATTGATCTTTAATAACTTCAGGATTTTTAACATTAAAGATGTTTTTCATTAAAGATCTGTTTGGAAAGAATTAACATAAAAATTCGCGCAAAACACAGAGATCGGCACTTACCCTAAGCAAGAAGCTTCAAATTCTGGACAGTCATGACACACATGCAGCATGCAATTTCCTTCAAGATACTTTTTATAACATTACGAAATCATAAACATAACTTCTTTTTCAATATTTGTTTTAAAGAAGCTTAAGTAATCAAAGATTAATAATGCAAAATTGAAGAAGTCATATTTAGTTATATAGAGGTCATTATTAGTTTTTTGTTAAAATAGATAGAAAATCTTAGAATAAACACATTAAAGTGTGAAATAACTTATCTAGTATTTCTATGAATATATACACACATATATATATATATATATTATATTACACATATAATAATTTTACACAATCATCATAAAAATATTGTATATCTTCATATAAGCAGCATTTCTAAACAAATATAATTTTAATCATAAATAATGGAATTTCTCTTCTTGCCAGACTATGACAATATAACAGACAAAATAAAAATATTGAAAGAAACTTTTATTAAAAAGATATATTAGCAATGCAATATGTTGCAAAAAATAGATTAATTTTAGCAATTATTACAATAAACGTCAATTGCTATATTTCTTTTATTTAAGGGTTACAAAGCTTTAATAGTATATTTTTTATTTAACGTATATTGTTGTTGTCAACGGTAAAGCTCTGGCAGTTATTTTCAAAGTTTTCAAAAGTAAAATTATTCGCAGCCGACGACTAATCGCCTAGAATGACACAGATTTAAGTTCCGGAATAAATGTTAAAAAGCAACATATGATAATATTTGACAAATATGCAATAACATCTGTCAAGCAATCACTTTACTATTTGGCCACTTCTATAATATTCGTTGATTGGAATTATACTAAGTTTTGTTATAAATCTATTGTATATAGAATACGTTCTACGTCATTCTCGGCGCCTAAATATTAAATAATATAGTAAAAAATCTGCTAATTAATAATATCTATACAGTCGCGTTAAGCAAGATTAAACTCCTTAAGCGCGGTTTGCATGATTGTATCCTTAACAGCGCAGAATACAAGCTTGATGTTTTCCGTATCTGATGATTAATTCCATGAACGCAGCATGCAAAATATAAATCAGGCATCATTGAGATTAGTCACCACCGTTTTATATTTTTGAAAAATCAACCCGATACCGCGTATTTATCAATATTTACATTATTTTACTATTTTCTTCTAATATTTCGTAATAATTCAATAAATCAGTAAACACTGAGAAAGATACATATATACAATACCTAAAATTATATATAATATTTATATTAAGTGTAAATTAAACCAAGTAAATTTGAAAGATTATAATTGTTATGTTAAAGACAACTAATACATTATTTGTGCTATTCTTTCGCTCTCTTTGAAAAAAAGATGCCTTTCATACATGCAGGTTGATTTTCCGTGGTACATTTATAACATTTGATTACACACCTGATTATACGGAAGGCAGGCAACATACAAGCTCTGTACAAGACACAATACATCGAAGAACTGTTATAAAGCGAAAGAAATATGATATTTTTGTACACGGGAGTTATCAAGAAACTAGCCTACCTGTGGCACACGTAAAGTGGGAATAAATAATCTTCTCGCTGTCCGGATTTAAGTCAACGAACATCCTTAGAATGAATTCTCTAGCTGCGAGAGCGTCTCTCTGTCGACCTGCGAATTACACAAGCGAGGGAGGGGCATGGCATTACTTCTGTTTATCTACAAAGCGATTATGTACTGCGTAGTCAATATTTTTTTTTAGCAATCGTTTAACGACGAGAGGATTAATTGATATGTATCATTGAGATTTTTGCCAGGTGTAAATACGACAAAAGACGTAAGCTAGAATTTGACTAAGTCTTCCGTGTTAGGATTTCTAAGTGTTTTACAAGACAGGAATGAATCTACATCCCGAAAATACCATCACTCAACATCGGTTTTAGTTATATGCACAATATAACGCGAAACGTAGACAGATATCGATCTAATTTAATGTAATAATGTTGTACTTCACTCAAATCCAATATACACTCTCCAAGGACAGCTTATTAAATTAATCGTAGTGAACATCAAAGAAGCCTTTCAAAAGCCTCATTAACAAGCTAGAGAGCTTATGTAAGAACATTGAGTATAATTTTGCAAATTCGAAACAGTTGCTTACACGTTGTAGTTCGTAATAAAATCTAAAAGTCCTTTATCGCGAATAAAAATTTCAGTTTAATGTAACTTTTGCTAAATAAATATTTAAAATTTCAGTATGCCAACGTAATTTGCATTAAATGTTCAGTAATTAATGAAATAACAAAATTATAAATTACAACACAGGATGTGACGAATGTTCTGATTATTGCTATTAGATTAACTAGCTTCAATCTACATACAAGTTAATTTTGTATCAAAAATACGTACTACTGATTATCATAAATTATGCGCAGAAGTATGGATATAGGTTTGGTATGTATTAAAATAGCCTTGCAAATAGATTATCACTAATAATAAACGCGAATTCAGAAACATCAGAGCGGCAAAGTTACAAAAAAAGAGCATGAAAATCGCACGAAATATCCTATTATTAAATCGTTCGACAAATAACTAGGGAATCTACATTTTCTGTTCAGGATACACTCAGTACTCGGACAGACCTGTGGCACACGTAAAGTGAGAGTAGCACATTCGGTCAGGATCGGGATTACAATTGAGATACACCTTTAAGATGAACTCCCTGGCTGGTACGTCTTGTTGTTTCGGGCCTATACCATAGATCTTATTTATTTACCAATATCGAGATAAATATTTTTATCGCATTTATTCAGCCTGTGTGTCTTGAGATAAATTAATAATTTAATAAATATCGATTAATACTTTGTTTTAATTTCTTTGAGGGTATTAAAACAATATAGTTTCAAATATATCTTTATCTTTTAATAAACATCTTCAGAGAGTTTATTTCTACTGCCAAATATGAGATAAGATGTTTGACTAAATTAACAATAACGTAGTTAGCATTTTATGCCTAATGATTAATGATAATCATCCGTGGATATTTATAAAAAAAAAAAGATAATACAACTTACCATCATATTCCGGAAAATAGTCGACAAGATGAGAATACATAATCTTTTCTTCTAACAGATCTTTCTTGTTGAGAAACAGGATAACAGAGGAGTGTTGAAACCAGGGATATGTTATAATCGTTTTGAACAGTGCTTTACTTTCTTCCATTCGATTCTAAAAAGAATCATACACACAAATGAGTTGTAATATCATTCAAATTTATCGATAATTTCTATATATCTTATAAAAAAAATTATAATTACCTCGTTTTCCGATTCAAATAGAATTTGATCATATTCACTTAGAGCTACTAAAAATATAATTGAAGTGACGTTTTCAAAACAATGGATCCACTTTCTTCTTTCCGACCTCTGTCCACCGACGTCTACCATCCTGCAAATAACATTCTATTAAATTGAGCACTGTTACTAGTATGCGAACAAAATATATATAGTCGAATCTTCATATTTTTGATTTAGAATGATTAATAACAATTAATATAGAAATGTATGGAATAAATGTATATATTTTAAAAAATTATTACATACACTGAAAAAAAAGATTGGTTACTGCAACAATTTAGATAGTAAAATATGGCATAGTACTTTTAATCGGCTGCAGCAACCAGTTTTTGGTTGCAGCAAATTTTTAGTTGCGTTAGCCTATCCGCAATGTCAGTATATGATTTCAATAGGCTAACGCAACTAAAAATTTGCTGCTACAACTAAAAACTGGTTGCTGCAGCCGATTAAAAATGCTATGTTATATTTTACTATCTAAATTGTTGCAGCAACCAATCTTTTCTTTCAGTGTACATATATTAAAAAGATTATTTTAAAATATTTTCGAAAGCAAAACAAGAGGAAAAGAATATGAAGATTCAGCTACATAATTTTCCTAACTACTAAAAAATGTAGTCTATCGAATATGATCTCTATACGTTTTTCAATCTTAAAAAATACCTAGGACGAATCGGGTCATAAGACGAGTAGGTCCTTAAATTTCAACAAATCAAATGTAATGTGTCGCCATTGTGACCTATGCGTCTACTACTGTGCTTTTTATCTTGTAGGAATTTGTAGTTTGCAATAAAAATGCAAATAAAATAGATAAAATTTTTATATCTTTTTTTATTTATTATATACGTGATTAAAAATTGACACTTATTTTTAAGAAAGTTTCTCTGCTTGAAAATTTAAAATCAAAATATAAATTTAAATTAATTATATTAAATTTAAAAAACAGACTATTATATGTATATATAAATTGTAATTACAAATTTTTTTTAAATTTAAAAATTCTGAATTTTATCAATGATCTATATAAAATAAATAAGTAATTTTTTTTTTACGTAATTCATTTAAATTTGCTATATAAAATTCGCAAAACATCTAATTATTCTAATACATTCATAAACGAATACATATCTATTATTCTCAATCGCAACTATATAATTATAAGTGAGATATTATTATAAAGTTCATCGCATGCAGTAGCATTATTGTAACTGTACACTGAACAAATAGATAGTGAACGAACAGCGAATGTAAATTTAAGCTGTTGAAAATATGCTGTACAGAAAATTATTCACGCCACGATAAATGTGTAACAGCACATTCGTTAACGTTTAATTTAATCCGCTCATAAGATACAGTACGTTAAAGAAAGTTTTAAATAAATTTATTGTTGCATTTGCTGTTCATTCGCTTATGTATATCCATTTAACTAAACAACCTAATAAAAAATGTAAAACACATAAAAAGGCATGCAAACGTCAAAGCTTCTTCGAAATAATTATAATTTATATACATATATATATTGTATATAATTATATATGTATATATGTATACAAAAAACTCCTGTTCATCCTTCTCCTTTCTCGGAAAAATGAAACGAAGGATATATCATAAAATTATTCAAATAAATGTTAAATTATATTCCAATTTTTGTAGCAAAATAACATTAAATATTTTTAATAATTTTATTAACAGTCAAATTAAAGTTCTACTAAAGCGATCGACATACAAATAAATTATACATATACTTTTATATTTTCAGAAATTAAATTCCTTAAAATGTATTTCTCTACATTTTCTATTAATCTAGATTAATCTTAGTTCTTCTACTCTAAGCGATCGTAATTTAGGAATAATTAAAGCTACGATATTCGTACAAAGAAAACGATCTACTCTTTAAATTCATCAAAAAAATTAATTCAAACTCATTTTAATAAGAAAAAGAAAATAGTTTAAGTAATCCATTGCTTTCTAAGTATAAAGATATCTTGCGAAAAAACGATCGAATGCACGATCGAAGGTATAGAATCGGATTGAAAGACTATTAGTACCTAAATATGATGGAGTCCAGATCAAATGGATATTCTATAATTCCGGTGGTGGGAGCTCGTGCCCGGAGGATGTCTTGCTCGGTCGGAAGGAAATCAGGCTTTTCAATACGCTCTAGGTCACTAAGATAACTGCAAAACGAAACAAAAAGCTGCTGTCTGGAAGTGCATGCCATGCGTGGTACATTTAAAAAATATATATATTTAAATATAAATAATCATAAAACAAGAAAATGTCGTATAAAACAGTTCTCACACATGCTTGTCCATTGGTTTAGCCTGAAAGAATTTTTTAACGTCGATGGCATGTCTTGAGACTTACTTTATGTTTTGTGATATACTTTTTTTTGTTTTCGAGATACGAAGTTTGAATACGAAATCATGCAGATTTCTTTAAAATAGAAGATAGTACACTAAAAATAGTTCCCGTACACCTAACTTTTCTCGCTTAAATCTGTTGTCTGTTTTGTTTATTTTATTTTGTAATTAATGCACAAATAAATGAAATGAAATGAAATAGTAAAGTTAATTGTATTCATATATGTGTGTGTGTGTGTGTGTGTGT